TTATTATTATTATTATTATTATTATTATTATTATTATTATTATTATTATTATTATTATTATTGCTACTACCGTTCCCAGTATTAATCATCAGTGGAACAGATTTCGAGACCACATACATAATTTAAATGTGGAGCAACTAATTAAAAAAGTATTTAACGGACAAAACGGCGATTAATCAAACCTCCTTATCCCTTACTCTATTCCACATCACATCCCCTTGAATAACTGGCTAATTTTCTCTACTTTTTAAGAAAAATTTTCATTCTGCGAGTATGCTGAACGCTATTGGCTAAGCTTAACAATCTCCAATTTATGGTTTGTATGGCTGGGCAAATTTTGACAATCCTAAATCATCTAATAAATTTTTGTCTTATACAAAGGTAATTGCAAAGCGCTTATTCAAAGAATTCCTGATACCTCAAGAGGAGTAGTGTTAGCTGGTTTCGCATTGCCAACTGCTACAGATGTTGAAATAGTGAGAGGTAACATTGGCGAGGAAGCGCTCTGTGCAGCGACAGTTCCGGGGACCAGTGGTGAAGTGTGAAATGTCGGAGAACTGGCGGTGATATTTCCTGGCGCTAACATATTTGCTGGCAAAGCGGACATCTGCAATTACAATAAATCACAACATCGAAATGAGGAAAATGAGGGAAATGAATAACAAGATCCAACGGTGTAGCAGCAACGAGCTAATCTCCTCAAATTATGCAGCAGCCATCTGACTTGTATCCTCGTCCCCCTTCTCTACCCTGTCCCCAAATCCTGACTGCAAAGCAACATCTGAGCTCCTCTCCATTCCCACTCGAACGGAATTCTGCGGGCAGATAATATTTCACTCCCCGGAATTTACTAGCTAATTTGATGGCCCTAAGCTTCACTACAGAAAAAACAAAAAATGGTTGTCCCGGACCGCATTATCGTGAACTACCCCACAGAGTCTTAGTTAAAAGCCAGATTTTTCTTGCAAGCAAAGATACCAAAACTACCGAACAATCGCTACAGTTGACAAATAAAAGTTCCTATACAATGGACGCAACTACGCCACATGATTTATTGGAATAATACTGTAAAAAAGGCCGGTATAATCATGCGCTTTTGTAAGGTCCTGTAGTTATTTTACATCTTGATATAAGATGTGCTGACGTTGAAAACATTTTTTTTTTGGTCGTCCAAATTCGAAGGAGAGAATTAGAGGCTGAGAAGACGGGATTCCATTATGGAGACCCGTAAAGGCGGGATTGCACTATGGAGACTGGGTTGAACCGGGTATCGAAATCGCTTCCCGCCAAAAATACAACTGAAATGTTCAAGCAAAAGAATTATGTGCGACGGGAACATTCATTTTACATCTGTGAATTGCTTCACAACTCAGTGACTGCCGAAATTCCAAATTCATAGTTCTGAGACAGACACAAATACACACACAGATAATCCCTCGATAATACGCGTGATTTCATCAATGATGGAAAAAAAGGTATAGAAACGGAATGAACCTGGAACGATGACTGTGGGGTAGCAGCAGATGCTGGTGTACGGAAGGTTGTTGTTGCTCGAGGTGAGGTGTGTGCGGCAGCCGAACGTGGGCTTAGCATATTTGGATTAATGGAAAGTTGCCCGCGTACTGTTGCTGCTGGTGTAAGGAGTGGTGCAGTTTGAGTACGTACACCGGAACAACTATAGGCACCAGCAGCAGCGCTTATCGTTTCGGATCCCGGGGCCACTGAAAGTCCAGGAGAGGCACTGGGCTGCGATGGTGCAAAACGTAGTTGGCGTTGTGCACGAAGCATTGGTACAAAATGAGGAAAGGGCTGTTGTTGCTGCTGTTGCTGTTGCTGCTGGACTGGTGATACTCGTGAAAGTAACGGAGAATGTGATGCTACCGGGGACATATTACTGGATGTTGTAGAGCCAAAACGAGTAATGCCGACCGGTGATGTGGTGGCTTGTTTCTGGCTTACCGAAGGTTGCTTCATTGTCGGCGGATGATGAGCATCTGGTACTGATGGAAAATACACAGTATGAATGCCTGTAAATGATCAAATTTAGTTAAAACAAAAATTTGGAATTGGAAAAGTAAAAAAACTTTGTTGGCTAGACAAAAAAGCCAAAAATTTTGTTCTTTTTTTCTCCTCACGTCAAGACCATCGGACACCTCAGCATTTTTAAAATAACAAAAAAAACGAGAGCGACACCCTCACCAGGGTCAGCAAGCATTCATTTCGACGGTAAACTGGTAGTAGAGCACATCACAGAGTCAAACCCACCATCAGCTTATATCCAAGTAACTCTCAAAAGAGGGGATTACCAGCATTTTCGTCGGTAGATAGCTACTGTTTGCACATGTTCTATTTGTATTTCTTCCAAGTATCACCATCACCCAGATGAAATAAGTGCGAGGAACAAGGGACAGTATTTTAACTTTCGATCATTTTTGCAGTATTCTGTAATCACCTGATTTGCGCTTCATTTCACCACCACTTTGCACATTCCGATGCTCCGGGCGATTCAATTCCTCATCGATTACATTGTGACAGTGAGCGCGAAGCATCGAATGCGATAGCTGACCGGAATCAAACATTGTACTGTCCAGTCCTGGAAGACGCATTACTAGTTAATAGAAGACGGCAATTCCCGAAATCATCGACACCACTTCGTTACCCTTCCCCGTCCCGCTTCCCCCCCCCCCCCCCCCCCCCCCCCCCCC